CCAAGAAACCACCAGCAGGCCCCAAGAGGCCCCCATAAGAGCTCCCAAGAGGCCCGTCGATCGTCCCAGACATGTATGTACGAACTCGTACAATGTTCGGATACATGGTGACCCCAGCGCCGCGTCTACTTGCGGAGGCTCTCCGCATGCCCCCACGCCGCTTCACAAGAGTTCCGGTGGCCCCCTGGGTCCCCTCTTGGGGCCGTCCTGGGGGCTATGTGGGCCGCATTGTGGGACTCATGGGTCGTCTCGGTGCCATCTTGGGTCGTCTTGGAGCCCTCTTCGGTGGCCTCTTAGGCCGTCTTGGGGCGATCCTGGCGGCCTCTTGGGTCGTCTTGGAGCGTTGGAACCCGGAAAAAGCGAGAACGTTAAAATCCGCCAGAAAACCAACAGAAAAACTATGGTTCTGGCCTCGTGGAGCCCCCGAGGGGGTCCTCTTGGAGCCCCCCGGGGGCGTCTGCAGGGTGTCTTTGGCCGTCTTGAAGCCATTGTGAGCGTCTTGGAGCGCTCTGGGGCCGTCTTGGAGCCGTCTTGGAGCAGCGCAATCGCACTCGAAGCTCACGCGAACTCTTTGAATACCTCAGGTTGGAACCCTCGTGAAGGCCCTCCGAGCCTCAAGCCGAGCCCTGCAAGAGGAAGCATTTGTACCAACAGCGGGTACATGGTGACCCCTCCGCGTGGAAGCTAACCAAAAACCTCTCTTGGGGCCTTCTTGCGTCTCTCTTCGGCCTTCTTGGGTTTTCTAAGAGGGCACGACATGCAACATACAATGAACACAAGACGCTCTCCGATAAGGAGGCGGTTTGTCTTGAATCTGTGTTGAATTCTTGGCCCTCATGGAGGCATCTTAAGGCCCTCAGAGGGCTCCCGCAGGGGCCCAAGAGGGCTAGGAGGGCCCCAAGAGGACCCCAAGATGGCTCCAAGAGGGCCAACATTTCTAACACCAATTTAATACAAGACGCTCTCCAATAAGGAGGCGGTTTGTCTTAAGCGTGCGTTGAATTCTTGGCCCTCTCGGTGGCGTCGTAAGGGCCCTCAGAAGGCCCCCGCAGGGCCCCAAGAGGCCCAGGAGGGCCACACGAGGGCCCCAAGATGGCTCCAAGACAGCCCGAAATTTGACACAGCACCAGCACCAGCACCACGGGCAGCCCAGGCAGCTCATGCAGCATCAACGCCAGCAGCAACAGCAACATCTGTAGCAACCACAACGAGAGGTGCAGCAACGGCAAGATGATTCCAAGATGGACCCAACTGGGTTTTTTGAAAGGGTCACGAGATTACCCCTGTCGCCCAAAGATGCCCACCCCTGCTAAGCAACGGCCCCAATATGACCCCAGAGCAACCCTGCGTCCCCAAGAGAACACCGAGACGAACACATTGCTTTCCGACTGAACTAAGGCTACCGCGCGACCCCGATGTTACTCCGAGGTGGCCCCAAAACCACCCCATGAGTCCGAGACGACTTCGAGATTGCCCCAAGATGACCCCTTAAAACCCTAGTTGACCACAATATTGTGTCAATATGGCTCCAATGTGACTCCGACGCGTTTCTTCTTTCTCCCCTTGCTCTTGGCTTGGGCCGATAGGACGGATGGGGGTGCTGGCCCTCCACCCCTTCGTCGTCGATTTCTTCCTCCTCCACCTCGTCCTCGTCGCCCTCGTCGTCGTCGTCGCTGTCCGCCTGGCCTCGTTGGCCCAACACATAGCAGAACATCGAATCCCCAGCACAAGCCAAATCCATCCATTCTCTTATATATATATGGGGAAGAGAGAGAGAGAGAGAGAGAGAGAGAGAAAAAAAAACAAAACAAAATAACGAGAGAGAGAGAGAGAAGGAGAGAGCGAGCGAGATAAAGCACGAGAGAGAGAGGGGGAGACAGAAGGAGAGAGAGAGAGAGGGAACGAGAACGAGATAGTATACATGTGCGCCTATATATATATATGGAGAGAGGGGCAACACAATAACAACAACAACAACAACAACAACAACAACAACAACAACAACAACAACAACAACAACAACAATTACTAGCACGTTGGGACACTCCGTTCTCACCAGTACCAGGGTTTTCATAGGAGGCGGGCAATACCCCCACTTTGTGGGGGGGGCGGTTCAAGCTCTACCAAATTTCCAAACGACTCTTCGCCACCACCCACACCCAGCTTCCCGCCCTATGACGTTCGGACACTTCACTTCGTGGCATGCGGACGACCGTGGCTACTATTCAGGGCCCCGCGGCCGACGACGACGGCGTGCGCGCGCGAAGAAAAAACGAATGTGTCCCGCATGGTATTATTTGACAGGGATGATGGCCCTGGCAGGTGCGCAACCGTTGTTGCAGAAGTTCAAAAAAGTTGCTCGCAAAAGCCCGTTTGACAGAAATGTTTAAAAAGTGTTGGGTTTCCTACGAATCCGCAAGAGCGCGCGGGATGAAATTGTGACATTTTTTTTTGAAAAAAACATTGGTTTTTTGATGTTTTTATGTTAAAATCGCTACGAAAACTAAGGTTTTGGAAGGATTTCGTCTTGCGCGCGCGAATGTCCACTTTACCTTATTTTTTGCAAGGGATTCTTGAAGTTTGGATATGTTAGAACAAGAAATTTCATTTTATAGTGTTTTTTGCAAGGGAAAGCGGGGGACAACAAAACAACCGGATCTGGACCACATCGTTTTGCCTGAGGCTTCCTCACGAAAATGATGAAAACGTGGCTGCGGCCTAGGCGCGGCGGGGGGGTCGTGCACCAGGGGTCCCAACAATAATTATTCTTAAGAAGAAATAATGTTCAACAACAACAACAACAACAGCAACAACAACAACAACACCAACAACAACAACACCATCACGCACAACCACAAGTACAACAACAACACCCCCACCACCACCAACAACAACAGCACCACGAACTCCAACAACTTCAACAATTTCAACAACAACAACAACAACAACATCAACAGCAGCAGCAGCAGCAACGACGACGACGGCGACGGCGGCACAAGCAACACCAAAACAACACGAACAGCACCAACAGCCACAACGACAACGGTCAGTGTAAGACTGATCGCTCTTAGCTGCTCGCGTGCCATTCAACACGTATATCCCAATCCCTAGATATTCGACCTCTTCGTCTTCGATCGTACAACCTTGGGGGTGTATCGTTCTGACCTGCAACCTGTATCACGATGCAGCCCTTCAGGTAGGGGGGGGAGAAAACGGATGGAAGGAAGGGACAAAGGGGAGGGAGGAGGATGGAGCACGAGAGAACGTAGCACGAAGGGGGCGAAGAGCAGAAAACACGTGGCAGAACCAGACGGGCAGATCAGGCGGGTAGACCCTAGCGGGCGGGTCGGGAAGGCGAGCCCAGGCGGCCAGGTCGAGCAGGCGGGTTGCTGAAGCGGGCGCCCTGCATACATCGCGAGGAAGTCTCGGGCGTCAGCGCGATTCGCAAATACATCGCAAGGATATCCACAACGAGAGCGTAATTCCTGAGTGTCGAGCGCGCGGCGCTTGAATATGTTGCGAGGAAGTCCCACGCGGGAGCGCGATTCCTGTACAAAGTGCGAGGACGTCCCGCGCGAGAACGCGATCTGGGAATACACTGTGAGGAAGTGCAAGGCGGGAGCCGCTGTTGTTGCAAACTGGGGCCCAAAAACATAGTTTGGTGACCCCTCACTTCCCCATACAAAAACAGGTTGCGAGCCCCGGGAGAAGCAAGTTCACAGAAAAAACAAAATGGTTACCCGATGGTGGGGTCAACACTAATTGTTCTTAGGAATGAGAATTCAACAACAACAACAACAACAGCAAAATAATAATAATAAAAAACACAACAGCAACAACCACCACCACCACAACAACAGCAACAACAACACCAACACCAAGCACAACCACACCACACCAACGACAACAACAACGACAACAACAACAACAATCACTTTACCCGAACGCTCAGTGTTCTCACCAGTGCCAGGGTTTTCATGCGACGCCAGCCAATACCCCCACTTTGTGGGGGGGCAGTGCAAGCTCTACCAAATATCCACACGACTCTTCGCCACCACCCACACCCAGCTTCCCGCCCTATGACGTTCGGACACTTCACTTCGTGGCCTGCGGACGACCGTGGCTACTACACTGGCGTGGAGTACACACCCACAGAAGTTGTTAGGACAGCGCGCGCGGGTAGAAATTTTGAAAAGTCGTGCAGGTGTTTTTCGAGGACCTACGGTGCGATTCGTGTGATTTTATGATGCGCGGTGCTAAAATTCTAAGAAGCCCAATGGTTTTTGGAGATTTCGGCGTGCGCGCGCGAAGAAAAAACGAATGTGTCCCGCATGGTATTATTTGACAGGGATGATGGCCCTGGCAGGTGCGCAACCGTTGTCGCAGAAGTTCGAAAAAGTTGCTCGCAAAAGCCCGTTTGACAGAAATGTTTAAAAAGTGTTGGGTTTCCTACGAATCCGCAAGAGCGCGCGGGATGAGATTTTGACATTTTTTTGTTGAAAAACCATTGGTTTTTTGATGTTTTTATGTTAAAATCGCTCCGAACACTAAGCTTTTGGAAGGATTTCGTCTTGCGCGCGCGAATGTCCACTTTACCTTATTTTTTGCAAGGGATTCTTGAAATTTGATTATATTAGAACAAGAAATGTCATTTTATAGTGTTTTTTGCAAGGGAAAGCGGGGGGGAACAAAACAACCGGATCTTGATCACATCGAATTACCTGAGGCTTCCTCACGAAAATGATGAAAATGTAGCTGCGGCCTAGGCGGCGCAGGGGGGCCGTGCACCAGGGGTCCCAACAATAATTATTCTTTAGAATTAATAATGTTCAACAACAACAACAACAACAACAACAACAACATCACCACCGACAACAACACCAACAACAACAACACCACCAACACCACCACCACCACCACCAACAACAACAACAACAACAGCAACGACGACGACGACGCCACCACCACCACCACCAACAACAACAGCAATGAAGGAGGAGGAGAAGGAGGAATCAGCGGAGGAGAAGGCGCGGGACGAGGCAGGCAGCGAAGGAGGACGGCGACGAGGAGGCAGGAGGCGCACGCGCCGCACCCGCTGCAGGGGGACGCCAACTGCTCACCCACGTCGGCCCTTCGGTCATGCCCGTCCGGGGCCCAGCCTCGCGAAATACGCCAGGAGGTCGCCCGGGCAGGTCGGCACAGGGGCGGGAGGAGGAACATGCGGTGCGGACTGAACCCTGGACTGCGAGCAGCAGCATGGGGGGGGAAAGGGAAGGGGGAGGAGGAGGAGGAGGAGGAGGAAGAGGAGGAGGAGGAGGACGAGGAGGAGAAGATAGAGAATCCAGCTTTTGTTCAAGACTTCTGACCTAGCTGGGCCTCCCCAAGCTTCGGGATGTCCAGAGGATTTCTGGGGACTCTGCAGACCTCTGGAGACCCCCGGAGACACCTGGAGGAGGGTGAGGGGGAGGGAGGAGAAGGTGACGGGAGGAAGGGGGTGAGGGAGGCATGGCAGTGATCTGCGTAGGTGGTTAGTTGGCGTCTCCAGGTTCTAGCAGCGGTGGGCTACGCAAACTTTCTACATTATCTGTGGCTATGTCCTCCGCGCTCCGTGTGGTCCTTCTCGTGGCGCAGCAGTCATCCTCCCAACCATCCTCCTCCTCGTCCTTGGCCTCGTCGTCGTCATCGTCGTCCTCGTCATTCTCGTCCTCCTTATCCACCTCCTCCTCCTCTTCCACCTCCTCCTCCCCCTCCTCCTCCAGAGTTCCAGCCGCATCCAAACAAACACATCCTAGATCCTGTGTTCCCCCCCTGCTCCATCTCCTCCTCCGCAATCCCCTGCACAATAGAAACGATGCAAAGTGCACGTTGCACCAAAGTCTGAATCATGCGTGGATGCCCCGCGAACACGAAAACTTTGCTTTGGTTTTTGACAGGGACGGCGGGGGGCTGGCAAAATGCCTGCTCTGTGCAGGCCCACTAACCCCTGTCAAAGACAAGTGCAAAGTGATTGTGGGCGCACACCCGCACAATACACAATGCTCGCAAACCTGCCGTCACTGTGCATCAGGTTTTTGACGGAAATGGTGTGGCGGTCGACCCATTGCCCAATGTGGCGCACCTGTTGCGCGTGGCACACCTGTCACGTGCGGCGCACCTCGCGGGCATCGCGCACCTGGCCGGCGTCTGAATCGGTTCCCGATGGTTGTCGATGGCGGCCCCTGCGTGTGCTGAGACTCGGGTGCTACTTCTGTAGTGGGAGGGCTGGTGCGAGTGAGTGGCACGGCTTGCGGCCTGGGGAAGCGTGACCCCTCCCCAATTCCCCCTCCCCTGGGTCTGGTCAGGGCGACCCGCGAGTGATTGCAGTGTCCTTTTTGGTCCATGATGGCTCCAAGAGGGCCTCATAGAGCGCAAGATTGCTCCAAAAATGGTCTGAGATAACCGAACATGGCCCAGGACAGCCTCCGACATACTCCTAGGAGGCCCCGACACCGCCCCAAGACGGTTCAAAGTGGCCTCCGAGTCGTTCAAGGCACCCCCCAAGAAGCAAACATCCTGCATCATGGCTGCCTCAAGGTGGCCCCAAGATGGCCCAAGAGAGCCCGACAAGGGGCCCAAGGGGCCCAAGAGCGCCCCAAGAGAGCCCCAAGAGGACCCCAAGGGGCACTTTCCTGGCCTCCGAGGGGGGGCTGAATTAAAGCAGCCCTCGTGTTTAAGCCGTGGCCTCCAAGACGGCCCCAAGAGGCCTCCCAGACGCCCCCAAAGAGCCCCAAGAGGCCCCAAGACTCATTAAAAGAGCCTCAGCAGGCTCCAAAATAGCTCTAGGAATCATCAAACAAAAAAAACTTAACACCAGATCCGCAAAAGGCCGTACCAAAGTCATCCTTGTCATCCTCCTTTCCTTCCTTCCGTCATTCCCAGCCCCTGCCTCCTCCTCCTCCTCCTCCTCATTCTCCTCGTGAGGTTGCCTAATTCCTCCTCCTCCTCCTCCTCCTCCTCCTCCTCCTCCTCCTCCTCCTCCTCCTCCTCTCCTCCTCCTCCTCCCCCTCCTCCTCCTCCTCCTCCTCCTCCTCCTCCTCCTCCTCCTCCTCCTCCTCCTCCTCCTCCTCCTCCTCCCCGCGCCCTAGCACCCGCTCCCGCCCCGGCCCCGGCCCCCGCTCCGGCCCTGGCCCTCGACCCAGACGCGGCCCTGGCCTGGAGGGCCGCAGCCCAGGTCCCGGCCCCGGCGCCCCGGCGCCCGGGCCCCCGGCCCCCGGCCCCGGCCCCGGCCGTGGCCCCAGCCTCGGCTTCGGCCTCGGCCCCAGCCCTGGCCCCAGTCGCGGCCCCAGCCGCGGCCCCAGCCCAAGCCCAAACAGAGCCCAAGAGGCTCCCAAGAGAGCCCCAAGGAAGGCTCCAGAGCGTCAGCGTCGCCGTCGTCGCCGCTGCCGCCGCCGCCGTCGTCGCCGTCCCCCTTCAGGGTCGGCGGCATCGGCCGTTAGGCCTTCCCAATTGAGGGTGTTTCTTTTCCAAAAGGTGACTCTCGCCTTATTGCCGCGCACCTTCACCTGAATATTTCGCAACAGTTGTCAGGAGTCATTCGGCGGAAGTCCCAAGAACGACGTCCTGGCATGGTCTACGATTGTTTGGACGAAACAGTCACGTTGACTCGCGGTGCTGCAGTCCCAGGAGCGGCGTTCTGGCCCGAGTGAGGACCGTCAAGACGCAACAGTCAGTTTGATCCGCGGCGCTGCAGGCCCATCAAAGGTGTTGTGGCTTGATTGAAGGTTCTCCGACGGTTGTCTTCCGGTGGGGCATTCCCCGCAATGGAAACAAATGCTTGTAGGACCCCATGGCTCGGGAACTTGGAGGGAGGAGTCACTGCAACATCGTTGATGCGCCTTGGGTTTACGCTTTTCCTTCTCCTCCTCCTCCTCCTCCTCCTCCTCCTCCTCCTCCTGCTCTTGCTCCTGCTAGTGCCGCTCTTCCTCCTCCTCCTCCTCCTCCTCCTCCTCCTCCTCCTGCTCCTCCTCCTCCTCTCCTCCTCATCCGCCTCCTCCTCCTCCTTCGCCCATTGCCGCTGGGGGGGGGGCACCCCAGACCTCTTGCCCAATCCCCCCAAAATCCCCAAGATAGCCCGAGCCAGAGACCAACCAAATCAGGCCACACCCCTTGTCTGGAGTTCCAGAAGGCGCATGTATGTACAGATGGTCGTCGAGCGGGTTCTTAGGATGCGCGCTCTATATGTGGTGAGACCTGTGTTTTGCAATCCACGCGGTGCGAGCTACGGGGTGCAAGCCGTGGGGCGTTGTCTATTTTAGGCAACTTACGCAGTGCAATTTGAGTCGGCAAGATCGGAATCTTGAACTACATGGTTGGGAAAAGACATCCTACCCAACCACCCGCAACTTGCGAGCAACACTCAACTAGCGCGGTGACGCAAAGACCGCTCTCATGCAGACCCATGACCCGGGCGAGCGAGTGATGATGATGATGGTGGTGGCACCGTTGACGAGGGCGACGACAACCACGACGATGACGATGACGATGATGGTGGAGGCGGCGGTGGTGATGGTGACGACGGCGATGGTGATGGAGGTGATGGTTGGTGACGATGTCGAAGATGACAAAGATGACGCTTGCGATGCGGATTTCGATGGTGCCCAGGAGGAGGAGGAGGAGGAGGAGGAGGAGGAGCAAGTACGCGCGCACAGACAGCTGTAAGTTCTGGCACCGTCCCGACTGAAACATCTTAGCCAGCGTGGACCCCAGACAGTACGACATGTCACTGTGGATATGTGAGCTATGTGGTACGTGCTAGGTGGTGCAAGCTGTGTGGTGCAGGCTACGTGGTGCAAACTATGTGATGAAAGATATGCATGCGGTGCAAGCTGAGTTGTGCAAGCTTTGTGATCTCAACTGTGTGACAAAGCTATGTGGCGCAAGGTCTGTGGTGCAAGCTATGTTGCGCAACCTACGCGGTGCAACATACGTGGTGTCTATGTGGTGTGAGTTATGCGGCGCCAGCTATGTGATGCAAAGTATGGTGTGCAATCTTGGTGGTGTGATCTATGTTTTGCAGACTACGCTGTGCAAGCTGTGTGGTGCAAGCTGTGTGGTGCAGGTTGTGTGGTGCCAGCTATGGTGTGCAAAACACGTGGTGCAAGTTAAAGTGTACAAGCTATGTGGTGTAGGCTATGTGGTGCACTATGCGCGGTGTAAGTTATACGGCGTAACTATGTGGTGAAAGATATGTGGTGCAGGTTATGTGACACAAACTACGCGGTGCACCATCTGTGGTGCCCTCATCGTTGCCGTCCCTTCATTTCCACTCCCCACCTTCCCCTGGTCCTCCTGCTCCTCCCACTCCGCCTGCTCCCGCTGCTGCAATTCCTCCTCGAACTCCTGTTTCCTCCTCATTATCCTCTTAGTCCTGCTCATCCTCCCGCTCCTCCGCCACCCCCGCCTCCTCCTCCTCCTCCTCCTCATCCTCCTCCTCCGCCTCCTCCTCCTCCTCCTCCTCTCCTCCTCCTCCCCCCCCCATCCTCCCCTCCCCCTGCTCCTCCTCTTCCTCCTCCTCCTCCTCCTCCTCCTCCTTCTCCTCCTCAAGCGTACACCTATCCTCTTTTCAGACAGGTCCGCTACGACACCCGCTGGAAGAGAGAGAGAGAGAGAGAGAACGAAAAATCAGTGCAATGGGAAGGGAAGGGAAGGAGTGGAAGGATGTCAGATGTGGCACGAGCAGGCCTAGCCTTTCCTGCCCCCTCGCTCCTCTCCCCTCCTCGTCCCTCCCTCTGCCGTCGCCAGCCGAGCTGCATTCACTGGGACGGCCGACTCATGCTCTTGCGGAGGGTCGCGTTCGCGCGCTTCATCAGACTGACGTTGCCCATGTTCACCTTTAGCGAATCATCGACCAGCTCCTCGCGGAGTGAGGCAAACGAGGATGAGGAGAAGGAGGAGGAGAAGGAGGGAGAAGGGGAAGGATGAGGAGGAGGAGAAGGAGGGACAAGGGGGAGGATGAGAAGGAAGAGGAGGAGGGAGTCAACTGATAGAAATTTCAAGCTTCAGGATCACAGCGAGAGAATATCAAGCGAAACGCCAGTACCGCCTTGCTGACACGTCTGGTGGCGCGACGAGGTGGAAACACGTACGCACGCATCAAGAACTGGATTGGGAGAAGGGGGCGGAGAAACCGGAGAGGAAGGAAATAGACGAGGAAATTGAGGAGTAGAAGACGGAAAACCACGCAAAAGAAAGAGGAGCGATGCTCGCACAATGAGCGGAGGAGGCAGATGAGGACGAGAGAGCGAATGACGAGGACGAGGAGGAAACAGAGGAAAGGGATAATGAGGAGGAGGGCAAGAAGGAGAAGACTAGGGGGCAGGAGGAGGCATGGGAAGAGGAGAGTAGGATTATGGAGGAGGGCAGAGGAGGAGAAGGAAGAGGCAGGGCGGACGCCGATAACGACGACAACGAGGAATCAGAAGGAAGACGTGAGTGAAGAGGGGGGGCGGGAGGAGAAGGCGGACAACTAAGATGATGGAGGGGGGGAGGGGAGAAATGAAGGAGGTAAAGGAAACACTTGGGGAACGGATCCGGACGACCGAACGCCGAACGGCTCTTCCCGCCTCTCCACGAGCCACTGCTTGACAAAAGGTACCGATACCGCTACTCTCCGGACCTCTCCCGGGTTTCGTTCTGACCCAAATTTCGAAGCGAATCCAGCGGTGGCAGCAGTGGCGACGAGGGCCTCCCAGGAGGCCCAAACAGGCGAAAACGAAGGAAGAATGGAGATAGGGGTGCAGTTTTCCTCCTCGACCGTCGTTCTGGCTGTCCTCCACAGGCCCCCGCATAGCCGAGAGGGGTCTCGACGCCCTGGCGCCGCCTCCGTAGCGCCCCTGCAGGTGCGCTCCGCGCCCTACGAGGTTGGCTGTTGAGGGGGCTGCTCGGGGGGGAGGCCAGCCAGGACTACTGGCAAGTCGGGCGTGTCCCCCATACGAAGGGGTTTTGGACGAAAAATACAACATAGTCAAAACATCTTCAACAAATGCCCAACATTATCAAAAACATCGTCCCCGTACTATTTTCTGGCTATTCTTGAGTATTCCTCCTGTAGAGGAACAGGCCCGACTTACGGTTTGCTGTTGAGATCGCCCCAGGCTGCTCGGGGGGCCTGCTGACGCCAGCTGGGAGTACTCGGGGGGGGGGAGGCCAGCCAGGACTACAGTACAGTCCTCGGCCTGACCTGAGGAACGAGAAACAAGGAACGAAGCCACTGTTCTCCAAGGAATGGCCCATAAGGAACGATGTCTAATACGTAACGCATCAGGAGCGACAAATAACGCATGCAAGCCTAAGGAACGACCGATCCCCTTTTGAAAAGTAAGTGTTCCTTATTCGAGCCGCTCCCTGCACTTGGGGGGGGGGGCTGCCTGCACGCAAGCCGAAGCCTCACCACACTCCTCCCCGACCTCTGGGCGTCGTCCGGAGGCATCGCGGCGGGTGCTCCCGCGCCCGTGTGTTCGGCCCCGGGAGGTCTCCTGGGGCCGACCGAGCTCGAGAGGCTGGGCACAAGCGATGGTGAGGTCTGGCCGTGAGCACTCTGGCCGCACTGCTGCTCACGACGCGATGGCTTGTCGATGTGTATATATATGTATGTATACATATGGGCTTCATATGGGGCTCGCGTCGTCGTCGTCTTCGTCGTCGTCGTCTTTGTCGTCGTCGTCTCCCTTCAGGATCGTGGGCGCGAGCCCTCGCCTGCTCCTCGCCTGGCAGGTCGAGCTCCCCGCGGAATTGCCGTTGCCCCCCCCCCCCGCGGCCGCCGCCCCGGCCGACCTGGCCCAAGTCGGCGGCGAGGGAGGGGGGGGAAGCGAGAAGGGGAGGGCCTTCTCTTGGTAGCCTTAGGTCGGGCATGTCCCCCTACAGGCGGATTTGGGACGAAAAATTAAAAATACCCCAAACATGCTCCAACAAAAATTCAAAAATACTCCAAACATCGTCCCCCGACTATTATTTGACCACGTTTGAATTTTCCCCCTGTAGAGGGACAGGCCCGACTTCAGGGTAGCCCCCAAACCAGGTAGTGAGATATCAGGTGGTGACATGGAATCCCCAGAGAATCACCTCTGGGTTTTTGGAACATGGGGTCACCGCCGGGTTCTGTGACTCCTGGGCCCACCAGCGTTCGGGACATCCTCGAAAGCCCACACGCGTCCCCAAACCGGGTGGTGACACCAAGTCGCCCGAGACTCATCGCCAGGTGTTGTCACCTGCTGCTGCTGCTGCTGCTGCTGCTGCTGCTGCTGCTGCCTCTTCGCAGCAGCACCGTCCATAGACGTTTGTCTCAGATCTGTTTTGTAATGCATACGTGGCGCGGGCAAGCGCGCAGCAGGGGATGCTTACCATGTGACCCGATCCCCCGTCACAGAGGTAGTTCTGTGGCGGCGCCACCATGCACACTACGGTCGAGAGCATGAATACATTCGCTTCGATCCCCTCTCTCTCCAAAAACGTGGGTTCGGGCCTTTTCCAGCACGGGAGGGTGCGGCGAGATCAACCGGTGCACGGTCACCAGCGAGAACAATGTGAGTTATTACAATATTTTCCAGAACCAGTTACAGAACTGTATCAATGGCACCATTTCTATACTAACACCAACGGGCACGCCCACAGCAGCATCGACAGCGGCATCGATAAGTTCACCGACTTCACCGCGTGCTGCCCGACGGCTGCGGCAACAGGCGCGCCCACAACAGCACCGACAGCGGCACAAACAAGTTCACCGAATGCTGCACCGACGGCTGCACTAACAGCGACACCGACAAGCTCACCGAATGTTGCCTCGACGGCTGCACCAACGGCAGCACCCACAGCGGCACCAACAGCGGCATCGACAAGTTCGCCGAGGGCTACCCCGAGGGCTGCACCAACGGGCGCTCCAACTGGCACACCGAGTGCTGCCCCGACAGGGTCTTCGACAGCCGCGCCAGCAGCGACACCGACATGTTTCGGACTGCTGCCCAGACGGCCGCACCGACGGAGTTACCGACCAGGTCACCGACAAGTTTCACCGACTTCTGCCACGACGGCTGCACCGACAGCAATATTCGACAGCAGTTTTTACCGCAGCACCATCCGCTGCGTCGACAAGTTCGCCGACTGCTGCCTCGAGGGCTGCACCACTGGGCGCTCCAACTGCCACACCGACTGCTGCCCCAACAGGGTCTCGGACGGCCGCGCCGACAGCGGCATTAGCACGGCCTGCGACCGCTGCACAGACGACAGCGCTGGCAGCGTCAACTACGTGGTCTCTCATTGCTGCCCCGACGGCCGCACCGATAGCGTTACCGTCAAGGTCACCGACGCGTTCTCAGACTGTTGCCCCGACGGCTGCACCAACAGCAGCACGCACTGCAGCGGCAACAGTGGCATCGACAAGTTCGCCAACCGCGGCCACGTAAGGTTGCACCAATGGGCGCTCCAACTGCCACGCCGACTGCTGCCCTGGCAGGGTTTCCGACGGCCGCGCCTACTGCGGCATCGACAAGGTTTCCGACTGCTGCGCCGACGCCACGCCGGCAGTGGCACCAACCAGGTCTCCGACCGCTGCCCCGACGGCCGCACAGACAGCATTACTGAGAGACAAGGTCACCACGACTTTCACAGATGGCTGCCTCCATGGATGCACCAACTGCAGCACCAACGGCGGCACCAACAAGTTCACCGATTACTTACCCGGGTGCTGTACCAACAACAATGCCCACAGCAGCGCCGACAGGTTTATCGACTACTGCTCCGACGGCTGCACCAACAGCAGCATCCACAGCAGCGCCAACAGCGGCATCGACAAGTTCACCGTTTGCTTACCAGAGGGCTGTACCAACAGCAATGGCCACAGCAGCGCCGACAGTGGCACCGACAGGTTTATCGACTACTGCATACGGCTGCACCAACAGCAGCACCAACAGCTGCGCCAACAGCGACATCGACAAGTCCGCCGACGGCTACCGCGAGGGCTACACCAACGGGCGCTCCAACTGGCACACCGAGTGCTGCCCCGACAGCGTCTCCGACGGCCGTGCCGACAGCAGCATTGGCAAGATCTGCGACCGCTGCACCAACGGCCTCGCCTGCAGCGACACCGACATGTTTCGGACCGCTGCACCGACGGCTGCACCGACAGGTTTACCAACAACGTCACCGACACGTACACAGACTACTGCCACGACGGCTGCACCGACAGCAGTATTTACGGCAGCACCATTTGCGGCATCGACAAGTTCGCCGACTGCTGCCTCGAGGGCTGCACCAATGGGCGCTCCAACTGCCACACCGAGTGCTGCCCAGGCAGGGTCTCCGACGGCCGCGCCGACAGCGTCATAGACAAGGTCGCCGACTGCTGCACCGACGGCCGTGCCAGCAGCGGCACCGACAGGGTCTCTAACTGTTGCCCCGACGGCCGCACCGACAGAGATACCGACAGGGTTACCGACACGTTCACCGAGTGCTGCCCGATGACTGCACCCACAGCAGCACCAACAGCGGCATCGACGAGTTCACCGATTGCTGCCCCGACGGCTCCACCAATAGCAGCATCCACAGCAGCACCTACCGCAGCACCAATCGCGGCAGCAGTTCGCGATCTGCTGCCCCGTGGGCTGCACCACTGGGCGCTCCAACTGCCACACCGACTGCTGCCCCAACAGGGTCTCCGACGGCCGCGCCGATAGCGGCATTGGTTATTACCGACGGCCGCGCGGACAGCGGCACCGACGAGATCGCCGACCGTTGCCCCGTCGGTGGCACCGACAGCGTTACCAACAAAGTCACCGACGCGTCCACCGGCGGCAACGACAGCGGCACCGACAAGTTCACCGACTGCTGCCCCGTCGGCTGCTTCAACAGCAGCACCCGCAGCAGCACCATCAGCGGCACCGACAAGCTGAGTGACTGCTTCCTCGACGGATGCATCAACATCAGCGCCCACTGAAACATCGACAGAGTCAACGACAAATTCACCGACTGCTGCCCCGGCGGTTGCATCCGCAGGCGCACCTACAGCGGCACCGACGGCGGCACCGACAAGCTTCTCCGCCTGCTGCCCCGACGGCAGCACCAACGGGTGCTCCTACGCCATTCCGATTTCTCAAACGCACGTACAAATGACCAGCACATCTGGATGATTACTAGCGTATGCACAGTTCGCCATTGATTCACGTGAGCGTAGCAATGATTGTGTCATACATTACTTCTTTTTCCCAGCTTCTACATCAAACACAAGTGTACTTCAGGCACAGGTGCTGTGCCCGCACAGCACAGCATTTTACGTGGTGGGGTGAGCACGCTCAGGTCTCAAGCCATCGTGTAAAGTAAACATCCCCCGCTGGGGGTGACCTCATGCCGCATCTGCCACGCAGATTGCTGCGCTGATGCAGCGTGTTTACGCGGTGGCTGAAGCACGATGTGCTTCGGGCACCCTGTAAGCCTTAATTCAGTGACACTGTGAATGGTGAAGTGGTTGGGGACGGAGGTGATTTGCTGTTGCTGCCTCTTCGCAGCAGCACCGTCCATAGACGTTTGTCTCAGATTTGTTTTGTAATGCATACGTGGCGCGGGCAAGCGCGCAGCAGGGGATGCTTACCATGTGACCTGATCCCCCGTCACAGAGGTAGTTCTGTGGCGGCGCCGCCATGCACACTACGGTCGAGAGCATGAAAATACATTCGCTTCGATCCCCTCTCGCTCCAAATACGTGGGGAGGGCCTTCTCTTGGTAGCCTTAGGTCGGGCATATCCCCCTAGAGGCGGATTTCGGACAACAAACAAAACATACTTTAAAAAGATTCCAAAAATATTCAAAAATACTCCAAACATCGCCCCCCGCCTATTTTTTGCCACTTTTGAATATTCCCCCTGTAGAGGGACAGGCCCGACTTAAGGGTAGCCCCCAAACCAGGTAGTGAGATATCAGGTGGTGACCTGGAATCCCCCCAGAGAATCACCGCTGGGTTTTTGGAACATGGGGTCACCGCCGGGTTCTGTGACTCCTGGGCCCACCAGCGTTCGGGACATCCTCGAAAGCCCACACGCGTCCCCAAACCGGGTGGTGACACCAAGTCGCCCGAGACTCATCGCCAGGTGTTGTCACCACCACGTTTGGGGACTACCAGTTCTCAGAAGGCTCAAGTCCCCCGGCCTTCCGAGACGTGCTCCGAGCCTTCCCCGCTGACGCAGCAGGCCCCGCCGGAGGCGCGGGGGCTTCTGACAAGTCCCGCCGCCTGCGGGTAAGGCCTGCTCCTTCTCCCTCCCTCCCCCCCCCCCTCGCTCGCCGCCCACCGAGGGCACTTCGGCGGGCACGCCCTCCTCGGCCGACGCCGCCCCCCGTGGCCGACGCCGCCCCCGCCCGCGCCGCCCCGGCGCTCTCCACCGCGAGGGCCGCGGCCGGCGGCCCGCTCCCCGAGGCGGGGCTCGCGCTCGGCGCGGCGGCGAGGCCCTCGCTTCGCCGCCGCTCGGACGCCCACTCCCCGCGCAGTCTTCGGACGCCCATGTGAGCGTGTCTTTGAACAAAAATTGTTTGAAGAAATTAGGCGTTTCGACATTGGGCGGAAAGGGGGGGGAAGAGGGGGGCTGGGGGCCCGCGCCGATCGGCAACCATCCCCCGCGCAGTCTTCGGTTTCGCGCGTGCCTTGCTTGGCCAGATGAGCAAGGATGCTCCTCGATGTAGGGAAACGGACTCTAGACACCGACGCTGTTTTCGACCCTGCGCTGAAACTCGCACAGGAACGCGGATTCTGGTGTATACGGGAGCCTGGTGTATACATTATTTAAATTGTCCCCCTGGGGAACAGGAAAAACGTATACACCACACCACCCCGACGTCGTCCCCGACCCTCAAAAAAGTCCTGGAATTGAAAAAACGCCCACCACTGGTAATGTATATGTTCCAGCTTCCGACGATGATCCTCGCCGAGAAAAAAACTGGGCGCACGCCCGAGCGATGCCGAGCCTCGGCACGGCCGCCGTGGCGCCGCGCTCGCCGCCCTCGGCTGCTCGGCGGAGCCACAGGACACCGCGCCGCAAGAGCAAGCGGGGCGCACAAGACGTTACAGCCATCGGCCTGACCTAAATAACGATACAACAGGAACGAAGCCCCTGTTTTTTCAAAGGAATACCACACATGGAACGACATCGAACAAGTAACGCATCAGGAGCGACAAATAGCGCATGCAGGCCTGAGGAACGACCGGACCCCTTTTGAAAAGTAAGTGTTCCTTATTCAAGCCGTTCAATGTATGCGATCATGACCTCGCCGAGAGGAACTGGGACCACCTCTGCTCACGCCTTGGCGGGGTCGAGGTATGCGACACTGCGGGGGGGGGGACTGCACGCGCGTGAAGTGCGCATCCCATTTCAGCAACTCCGGCTGAAGCCAAAATGGCCACGGAGGAGGAGGAGGAGGAGTACGGAGGAGTTGGGAGGGCAGCTGGCCTGGATTTCTTCCTGGCAGTTGAAGAGCACACACTTGTAGTCGGGATCCATCTGGGCCTCGTTGAGCTTCTCGGTGAAGAGCTTGGCATAGCGCGCGAGGAAGGGCATGGAGGTCGGGTTGGACTTTGCTACGCTCTGGAAGCGCCTGGAGTGCACGGTCACAACCTCGGCACCCCCGTCTGCCGCGAGCAGCGAACCCTCCAGGACAGCCTCGGCAATCCACAGCGCGGCCTCGCAACACCACTGCCCCTCGCCCACGCTCGCTGTTGCCTGGCCGTCGCTGGACTGCTGGTAGTCGAGCACACCCCTCACAACGAACACTATCTCCTTGACCAGCCCTCCTTCTCCCACACCTCGATCCAACTCCACACCTCCCATGCTCTGGATGGACTGCTCGTTGAGCGCCGGGGGCTCGGCCGAGGTGCCAATCTTCAGCATCTCGTGCAGCGCAGGCGGGTCGATGCGGCTGTACTCCAAGAACACTGGGTGCACCTTTAGGATGGGCATGAACATCGCCTTTCTGATCTCGTCCTTGACGCTCGGGGGCAGGCCTTTGAAAGCCTGCACGTCCTGCAGCCTCGTCCGCTTCTTCACCGTGCGCCGGTGGTGCTTTATGAAGTGCCACACGCGGCTGACCAGCTTGGCTGGGATTTGGTGCTCGGTGAAGAAGCCGCGGACGGCCGCTTCTTGCTTCGTCTTGTAGTCGTTGATGTTCCTGATGTGGGTCATGGTGCTGGTGATAGATGACACGAACGAGGAAAAGATGACGAGCGCCATGATGATAACCACTATGTTGAATGTCCTCTCGACTTCGTTCTCGGGGACAACCTCCATAGACGCGGGCGTGAATTGCGTGAGCGACCAGTGCAGGCACGTGGTGTACGCGTATCTTGGACGCACCGCCCCAATCCAGGCTGATCCACGGCCTGATCCCTACCCTGATCCGGCCGACTGCTTATCCATTCCGAAGCATGCGCATGCAGCCCCATGCCGCACGAAGAACCGATCGACCCCACACGTCCCGAGCGATCGCTGGATCGGCCATATGCATGATCGAGCTCTGATCGACGAAGCTGGATCCTCTAGGGTGCGTGCATCATTGACCACTGGCCCCCACCGAAGGCATTCATTGCCCAAGTCACCCCCCCCGATGGGTTCGTTGCTGCGACTAGGAACCAGAAGCATGCAACATAGTGGTTCACAATCACAATGGCCACCAGCAGCTTCAGCAGGCCCATGAGTTGCTGGATGTACTCTGAATTCACCATGTTCATCATGTCCTGCATGTGGGTGTTCATCTTCGCGAAGCGTAGCAAACGGAAGACGCGCATGATGCGCGACGCCGTCTTCCCGAGGCGCAGCGAGTCGCTCGCGTCACCGAGGTTGCTGACAAATATTGAGGACCAGTCCACAGCAACGATCACGAGGTCAAGGCATAACCAACTCTTGATGTAGTTCCGTGCGACCTTGTAGGGGTCCATCTCCACGAAGCCCTCGCTGGAGTGGAATCCCGTGATGAACGACACGAAGATGTCCAAGGTCCAGAAGGAAGCGCTGGCGAACTGGAAGATGGTCTCGAAGTTCTTGTAACCAGCGGGCATTCCTGTTGTCCTGCTGTCGAACACCACCATCGGGATCATTATGAGGTCGTGCAGCAACAATAAGCAGCCCAAAACGTCCCAGATCAAGCGCTGACGCCCATTGGGATAGAGGGTCCACCTGTTCGTCGGCTTAGCGCCACCCAGAAGCTCGGTCATGGCGCCAGAGTCGCTCCTTCGCCGGCCATCCAGGAGCCAGTCCTTCTTCAAGAAGCGCAGCACGGAGCCGAGCTCGATCTGTGCGTCTTCCTCGCCGGATGGAAGACCAGAAGGCCGCTCTTTGTCGAGCGCGTCCACCCACATCGTGCTGGGGGTGAACTGACTCACGACACCGCCGTCCAACCTCTCCCCGACGGCGTCGAGGAGCGTCTTCCATTTTGACATATTCGCCGCCTCCAGGGAGGCATGCCCGTTCTCCACCTCTCCACCCATGCGGTCCATCATGGCGATCGCGGGCCCCTGGAAGCCGCCCGTCTCCGCCTCGAGCAAATGCGCCTTCAGACAGCTGTCTTCGCCGACCTGCGTCGAGCACGCCTCTGCGGTGACCTCGTTGCGGTTGCCCTCCTCGAGCTTGCAGTGCGAACTGCAACGCTCTGCCATAGACACCTCCTTGACTGTATTTCGCGGACTCAGCAGACCTCATCAAAGAAGGCCATCGCTTCAGTCCGACACACGGCCCGATCATGGACCCGATCAGGCTTGCCCGATCCATCCCAAACAGCGGGGCAACCTGCTGATCGAGGTCAGGATCCCAACCGACCCAAACATCGGCGATCCGCAGCCCCAGGTCGAGCCCCGACCGGATGCCCCCCGGGCCGCCCGGGGTCTTCTGAGGAAGAGGCCCGCCAGCGTCGGCATGTTGTTCCAAGTGGAATTGCCCTCTCGCGGCTCGTCCCGCTGAGACTGGGGCTTCTGTGACCTTTAGCGAGACCAAAAAAAAAGCAGAATCAAAAACTCTTGGAGATCCGCGCGGATGTCTTGGATCCTGGACCCCCCCCGTGGCGGCGCCGGAGGAGCCGCCAGGGGGACCCAGCGCAGATCCGAGAAATCCGCGCGGAGCTCAGAAAGCGTATGCTTATGCAGTTTTTTGTCATTGGGGCCTTCCCCCCGTGTCCAGGTCGAGCTTAGGGGCCGCGGAGGGCGAAGGCTGCGACATCCCCTGCCCGAGGGTCCCCTCCACGCGGGGACCGAAGGTCGGCCCGCGCGGGGAGCTCGTGTGGAGCTGCGTAGACCCCGTGCGGGGAGCCTGGAGGGGAACAACACGGGGACCACGACCGAGACTGAACGCGGAAACTTCGTTCCGATCTTGGTCACCGCCCATCTTGGACAGCGTCACCGCGTTGATCGTCATCGCGGATCGGCAACGGCCGACATGGACCATGACCAAAATTGGCATCGACCAGAACACGCGGCGTCTTGGTCGAGCCTCCCGTGCTTCCGCCCTCAATAGCCTGCGTGGAGACCGTGTGCGGGGGGCTGTGGCCGCCACCGCTCAGCCTGCTCAGGCCGAGCTCCTTGGAAGGAGAGAGAGGGCTGCATAAACACAAGCTTCCGGCGGTCCGTGCGGATGCTTTGGATCTCCGCTGGACCCCCTGGCGGCGCCTCCGGCGCCGCACCTTGCGCGCTCCGCGCGCCAGAGAGGAAGGTCCAGCGCAGGTCCAAGAGATCCGCGCGGACCGTCGACAGCCTATGCTAATGCGGTCTTTGCATATTCGACGAATCAGCCTCGACCTTACCCCAACCATGAAAACGGCAACCCCAAGGCAATGACAATCTCAGGGATGCGCCCTCAGAAGCGGAGGGAATCGAGATCGGCAACGATGCAAGGTCATGCCGGACATAGGGATGGGGATAGGTTTCAAACTGGTAATCTTCGACTCCTCCAGCGGAATCGGCGGGCACGCGGGGGCGGGGGGGCGCTGGAGCGGCCTGGGCGAGAGCGCCCAGTTCTGGGCGGGGGCAGGCAAGCTCTCCGCGCGCCGGGGCGTCTCGGAGCCTCGGCTGGTCACGGACAGCAGCCCGCCGGAAAACTCCTGGTGGGCAGCTCAAACCTCATGGCCACGATTTTTCTAAACGCGGGTTAGACTCAATCGCTGACTCCCAGCCAGCAACCGGACCGAACGAGGGCCCGAAAAAAAGCGAACCAGCGAAGGCCTGAGGAAAGACATAGCGGCAGAGAGACAGCGACGAAGCGAAGGACCGAAACCCGAAAACCAAAGGTACTCGCGGCGGCGAGTGACGTCGACGTTCCTTCCTGGAAAGCGGGCGCTGCATCGCCAATCATTACGACCTTGAGCTGGAATCGGTTGCGCACTTGGTGCCTACAGGGTGAAACTACTGAGACTACTACTACTACTACCACTACTACCACTACTACCACTACTACATACTACTACTACTACTACTACTACTACTACTACTACTACTACTACTACTACTACTACTACTACTACTACTACTACTACTACTACTACTACTACTACTACTACTACTACTACTACTACTACTACTACTACTACTACTACTACTACTACTACTACTACTACTACTACTACTACTACTACTACTACTACTACTACTACTACTACTACTACTACTACTACTACTACTACTACTACTACTACTACTACTACTACTACTACTACTACTACTACTACTACTACTACTACTACTACTACTACTACTACTACTACTACTACTACTACTACTACTACTACTACTAGTACTACGACTACGACTACTACTATTACTACCACTACGACAACGACGACGACGACACGACGACGACTACTACTACTACTATTACTAAGACGACTACTACTACTACTACTACTATTACTACTACTACTACTACTGCTACTACGACTACGACTACTACTACGACTACTATCACTACTATTACGACGACTACTACTACTACTACCACCGCCACTACTACTACTACTGCTACTACTGATACTACTACTACTACTACTACTACTAAAACTAGTACTACTACTACTACTACTACTACTACTACTACTACTAGCACTAGTACTACTACTACTCCTACTACTACTACTTCAACTACTACTACTACTACTACTACTACTACTACTACTACGATTACGGCTACTACTACGACTACTACTACTACTACTACTACTACTACTACCACTACGACTACAACTTTTACTACTACTACTACTACTACTACTCTACTACTACTACCACTACCACACACTACTACTACTACTACTACTACTACTACTACTATTACTACTACTACTACTACTACTACTACTACTACGACTACTACTACTACTACTACTACTACTACTACTACTACTACTACCTACGCCGACGACTACCACTGCTACTACTAGTTCTTGTACTACGGCAACGACGACGAGTGCTTCTACTACCACAGAATACTAGTGACACTACGACCACCACTATTC